CATATCACGAACAAGCTCATCATCATTCATAGCAAAGGAATCATAATTTTGCTTAGCTAGACAATGTTTTTGCTCACGGACATTACTTGTACCGTCATGGAGCTCTTGAAGTTTTAACCAAATTTCATGTGCCGTATTTAAGGTGAACACTTGGTTAAACACATCCATGCTAAATGATTCAAACAAGCAATTCTTAGCTCGTATTAAAATGCATTTCTATTTCATCACTCTTTGTGGGTTTTTCGGGATTCTTGATGGGTTTCATCCCGTCACGAGTGACTCTCCATACACCCAAATCAACCGCCTCAAGGTGGCAAGCCATTCTAGCTTTATAGTATGGGAAGTTAGTGCCGTCAAATTGTGGAGGCCTAGCGGTATCCATCCCCAACACTCCACAATAGCGTCGGCTCAACGGCGGTTAAGCCAAAGGTCCAAATATGAGCCAACCAGCTCTGATACCACTTGTAGGACACGCGGACGCCTAAGAGGGGGGGTGAATTAGGCAACTTAAAAATCTAACTCTAAGCTATGGCCTCTTTTTCTACCTCTAGCAAAACCTATGCAAAAGATAATCTATCTAGATGTGCAACTACAGTTTTGCTAGTGTGTTGCTATCTCTACCGCAAATGATAATAATATGATCAATGTAAATGCGGAAGCTTTAAAGAGCAAGGTAGAGATATGCAAACTCCTGTCGACGACTCCGGTATTTTTACCGAGGTATCGAGAAGCGCGCAAGCTTCCCCCTAGTCCTCGTTGGAGCCCCTCGCAAGGAATCCCTCGCAAGGGCCAAGCTCCCAGTCGGGTAACTCCGTGGATAGCCTCGGGCCTTCCCCACGCGCAAGTGGGTCTCCGATGTGCCTTCCGGCAAGCCTCTCCCGGATGCTCCCCGCCGTCTTCACTATCAAGCTTTCGATCGAAACGCCGCGGGCCTTGTTCCCTTCGGTACACTGTGGCGGCCGCACCACAAACGCGGTTGGTGCGATCTCGCAAGACTTCAAGCCCCTCCGATGTACAACTCTTGTGCTCGCAAGCACGGGGTGGCAAGAGGTATGCAAACCTCACTAAGCACTAGGCATACACCTAGAGCAAGCGCATAAGCGGTGGTCTAATCAACCTAAGCACTTCGCAAAGCACCTACGCTAATCACCTGATGAAACACTAAGCACTATGCAAGTGGAGATCACTAAAATGGTGTATCAACACCCTAGATATGTTTCCTCAGCTCCACTATTCTCAAATGGCCGGTTGGGGGTTGTATTTATAAGCCCCACTGAGAAAGTAGCCGTTGGGGTCGAACTCCTGCGAAACTGCTACTGACCGGACGCTGAATCGTCCTGACCGGACGCGTCCGGTCGTCCCGACCGTTGTAGCCGCGAACTACCGATCGGACGCTGCCAGCGTCCGGTCGCCTGCCACCGGATGCGTCCGGTCGCAGTTTCGCGCGCCTGGAACCTCTCTGTACTCGATCGGACGCTGCGTTCCTGCGTCCGATCGGTTGCCGCCAGCGTCCGGTCCTTGCGTCCGGACACCTGTCTGCCGAGCCACCGGTCCAGCGTCCGGTCCAGCGTCCGGTCGCCTCTACGAGCTCGTTTCTTTGCGATCTTGCGCACGGCTTGGTTCCTATCTTCATGCTTGGACTTTGCTTGACATCTTGGGTCTTTTCTTGTGCTTCTAAGGTCTTGCTTGAGGTGTTGATCATCGGATCATCACGTCGCCTTCGTCCAAGTCATGTCTTGCACCCTATTGGACTACAAAACAAACACTTGCAAATTCATTAGTCTAATTTGGTTGTGTTGGTCATCAAACACCAAAATCCAAAGTAAATGGGCCAAGGGTCCATTTTCCTTACAATTACTTCCAATGCTATTTCCTGTAATAAGCGCCACGATCCTCATGTTTGCCACGCTTGCCAGCTTGGTCGCCATGTGCGCCTCCCATTTAGCCTGTCAACCTCGCGTGCGTCGCGCCCATTTGATTTAATACATTGTGATCTTTGGACCTCTCCAGTTGTCAGTGTTTCTGGATACAAATATTATCTTGTCATTCTTGATGATTGCACTCACTATAGCTGGACTTTCCCGCTACACCTCAAATCCGACACTTTTACCACTCTTACCAATTTTTTCTCTCATGTGCGCACACAGTTCGACTCCTCCATCAAGGCAGTCCAGTGCGACAATGGCCGTGAATTTGATCATTCCTCGGCCCGCACGTTCTTCCTCACACATGGTGTCGTCCTCCGTCTGTCGTGCCCATACACCTCTCAGCAAAATGGGCGGGCTGAGCGCACTCTTCGCACCATTAATAACATTGTGCGCTCTCTCCTTTTTCAGGCCAGTCTCCCTCCAGTTTATTGGGCGGATTCACTCCACACTGCCACCTATCTCCTAAACCGCCACCCCACAAAAACCTTAGACGGCCGCACCCCCCACTTTGTTCTACACGGCGTGCAGCCTGACTACACCCACCTTCATGTTTTCGGCTACGCCTGCTATCCTAACCTGTCATCCACAGCTCCACATAAACTATCACCTCGCTCCTCCTTGTGTGTCTTCCTGGGGTACTCATCCGATCATAAGGGCTATCGGTGCCTTGACCTTCATTCCAACCGCATTATCGTCTCCAGACATGTTGTCTTCGACGAGGCGGTGTTTCCTTTCGCCGATATGTCCACTTCGCCCCAGGATCCCACCACACTCGATTTTTTGGACAGCACTGATGATTCCTCTTTGCCCTATGGGTCAAGAGCTGTGTATGTAGGTTCAGGACTTCCCGGCGGCATGGACGGCGCCCCTGGCAGCCCCAGCTGCAGCGGCGGCGCGCCGGCACCTAGCCCCCCACCGGCTGGTGCCTCGGCAGCGCCCTCTCCTGCGCCACCCACGGCTGCCCCCAACGGCGTGCCCCCCACCGGGATGGCCGGCTCTGCTGCCCCTGCGGACGCCCCGTCTCAGGTTGTTGCCAGCGGCGCCAGCCGTCCCTCCGGCCGCACCACCACCACAGTGCCTCAGGCGATCCCTCCTGTCACCAATGCGCACGGCATGCGCACACGTGGCAAGGACAGCACATGGCACCCCATCGACCGCCTGAATCTTCACGCGGCCGCGCTCTCTCCAGTGCCAACTTCGGTCCGCTCCGCGTTGGCGGATCCGGTGTGGCGCCAGGCTATGCAGGAGGAGTTTGATGCCCTGCAAGCCAATGACACTTGGTCCCTGGTTCCTCGGCCTTCTGGTGTCAACCTTGTCACAGGCAAGTGGGTCTTTCGTCACAAGCTCAAGTCAGATGGCACTCTTGACCGCTATAAGGCTCGGTGGGTCCTTCGTGGTTTCACGCAACGTCCTGGCATCGACTATGATGAAACCTTCAGTCCTGTGGTCAAGCCAGCAACTGTTCGGGCTATCCTTACTCTGGCACTCTCTCATTCATGGCATATTCATCAGCTTGATGTGAAGAATGCGTTCCTCCATGGCACCTTGAATGAGATCGTCTACTGTGCACAGCCGACTGGTTTTGCTGACTCCTCCAGACCGACTTTGTCTGCCGCCTGAACAAGTCCCTGTATGGATTGAAGCAAGCTCCCCGCGCTTGGCATCATCGGTTTGCCTCTCATCTTACCTCCATTGGTTTTTTTGAGGCGAAGTCTGATACATCAGTTTTCATCTATCGTCATGGCACCGATATGGCTATTCTGCTTCTTTATGTTGATGACATCGTTTTGATGGCCTCTTCTATGCGTCTTCTTCAGCGGATTATTGCAGCTCTCTGCCGGAAATTCTCTATGACAGATATGGGACCCATTCATCATTTTCTTGGAGTCGTTCAGCGCCAACATGATGATCTGTTCCTCTCACAACACAAGATATCTTTGGATATTACGGACCGTCTTTGGTTTGCTCAACTGTAAGCCTTGCAGTACCCCTGTGGATACTCACGCCAAGCTGTCTACCGATGGTGTCGCCGTGGCCGACCCCACTTCCTACCGCAGCATCGCTGGCGCCTTATAGTACCTCACCTTCACCTGTCCGGACATCGCCTACTATTTGTTTTCAAAGCAGGTGCGCTTATATATGCATGATCCTCGGGAACCTCATCTTGGTGCTATGAAGCGGATTCTTCGCTATCTTCAGGGTACTTTGGACCTCGGTCTCCACCTTAACCGGACCACACCGGCTGATCTTATTGTCTACACGGATGCTGATTGGGCGGGATGTCCTGACACGCGCAAGTCCACCACTGGCTATGCCGTGTTCCTCGGGACAATCTCATCTCATGGTCATCAGCGTCACCCATCGTGGTCAGTCGGCAGCAGAGGCGGAGTATATAGGCGATGGCGAATGGTGTTGCGAAGCTTCTGCTGGTTGTGCCAACCTGCAGGAGCTCCTCCATCCTCTTCGCCACGCCACCATGGTCTATTGTGATAATGTCGGTGCAGTCTACCTCTCCAGTAACCCAGTTCAGCATCAGCGAACAAAGCATGTCGAGATTGATCTACACTTCGTCAGAGAGCGAGTCGCCCTTGGTGAGGTCCGCGTCCTGCATGTTCCGACTACGTCCCAGTACGCCGACATCTTCACCAAAGGTTTGCCGACGTCCGTGTTCACAGAGTTAGGTCCAGTCTTAATGTTTGCGGTTCTCCCAGTTAAGACCGTGGGGGAGTGTTAGACTAGGCACTGTGTGGTTGCATGTGTGTGTTGCGTGTGTGGCTGCATGTGTGCAAGGACGTATATATATATGTACCCAATCAATCGAAGAAGGTTGTGTGTATTCTTATATTCCACTCTTCACAAGGGTAGTTATTTTGGTGTGTCGGTGTCGAATTTTCTTTTGTTCTTGTGCCATTTTACTCTCTTCAGCAACATAATATCGGTAAATGCAAGTTATTGTATCAACTTAATCCTTGATCAATTTTACTGCTAAGGGGTTCATAAGTCAATTGTGACAATTTACTGGACCTAAGTTTTGGTAACCACTAACCATAAAGCATCTCGTGCACTTGCACCATGAATAACACTCTAGTAAGAAGTATCCTGCCTTTTTTTTGTTTAGTTGACCTAATGCAATGTAGAGTGGTTAACTTGTATATTTGTTTCTTTGTTTGTTCCATTCATATTTACTTTGCAAAAGAAAAAAGTATTGCTAAATTCCTAAATTCTTCTTGTGTTTGTTAGCTTGGCGCAGGTCAAAAGAAAGAAAAACACCTAACAAAGCCTGAAGTTGGTCACTTTAGAGCACAGGGAGTGCCTCTGAAGAGAAAGCTAAGGGAATTTCCTGTCACTGAGGATGCGCTTCTTCCTGTTGGCACAACCATCACAGTTCGCCACTTTGTGCCTGAACAATTTGTTGATGTCACTGGAATCACGAAGGGGAAAGGTTTTGCGCTATGTATTCTTCCTGTCCAATCTATTTTCTGTGATTTCACTTGTCAAGACAGTTCACTACATTGCTGTAAACCAGCTAAGCTATCACCAGGGTTTTAGTTTGTGTTTCTTTCAGCAACACCTCTATTTGATTAGTTGAAATGAATCCAGAGGGAATTATGCAAGAGATATTTGTAATACTTAAGTTTCTAGTTTCTGCCCTGAATTTAAGTTACTCCACTTCAAACATTTATTTGATGAAAATTATTCTCTTGCAATTTATATGTTAGCTTTTCTGTTAATAAAAGCAAACACTGTATGTGTTTCTTACAATTGGTGGAATATTCAAACTGAGTGCTGTAGCGTTAAAACTTAAAATTTGACCGGTGCCAATTACAAATCACAGACGTTTTATATGAGATAACAAAGACGTTAATGAAAATTTCCACTTTTTCAAATATTAGATTCTGACTGATTTTTTCTGAGAATTAAATGCCATAATGTCCAAAGTAGTGTGCATCTTAGAAACTATAGTTATCCTTAGTGTTATTGTGGGATCAGTGTCTTTTCAGATCTTGAGTAGTTTTTCTATAAACTCTTAGAACATAAAAGAGCAGCATTTGGCTGGACATGTGAGAGGGCAAGGCAGTGTGAGTGATCCTATTTTTATGTGCATTGTGCTGCTTTGTTAGCTGGTAACATCCATCCACAAGGGAAAAGTCTTATTGAGGTTTGAGAAACTAGGAGGACCAATATTTGGTAAATGGCCAAGCTCTTGAGGACTTCTTTGCGTGGTAGTGCAAGTTCTCCCATGATTTCCAAGACCCTAGATTAATTTTCTTGGGGAAATGTGCTAGTGTTACAGAACTCGGCAAAACTGGTCAATTCTTCATTAAAACATTGTGATTACAGAAGTAATATGACTGCTGATTGTTACTTTCCCTTCTAGAACGAAGTAATAATTTCTTGACTGTCAATGTTTAACAATTTAACCTTCTTTTAATCTTGTAGGGTGTAATGAAAAAAATATGATTTCAGTGGGATGCCTGCGTCACATGGGGCATCTAAGTCGCATCGCAGTGGTGGCTCTACTGGTCAAAGAGATGCTCCTGGAAGGGTACGTTATATAATAGTATCACATTTATGTATCGAAAAAATGTTATGCATCTCCCTTCTCGCAATAGTGTCATTTTACTCTCCATAGGATAGGCAATAGTAAGGTTTTGCTATGAATTACATTTCCTCTTAACAAGATGAACTATGGATTTTAAGTATTTACTCACAGGTTTTTTTTGTGTTCCTCAATAGTTAAGATGATAAGACCTTATGTATTGTTGGTATTTCCTCAATGTTTTTTACTTGTTATGAACAATGAGTCTGTTAAATGATGTCATCGTACATGGTTGCCTCCTGAAGTATGTTATTTGTTCAGAGCTGGGCCTTCACTGGAAAAAAATGTAGATGTAATGTTTACAATTACAAAGCTCATGAACTTTTACGGCTTTGCTCCCGTTTCCTACATATTTCACGCAAGAAGGTGGGCCTGAAGACTTGGAGCCCCTGATTGCTGATCTTGGTGATGTTGACCCATTCATGGCAGCTGATTAGAAGACAATGGACAAAGTTGGTTAACTCCCTTAGTGTTTTATGCACTCCTTGAGCTCGTCCATTCCTTGAGATTGTCAAATTCTCGGTGGATATGTGAGCAATTCCTGAATCACAAGCTTCACCCGGTTACTGGCTAGCCTGATCAATGTTGTTCCATGTACATTACCTGGCAAGTATACCAGGGCCCTAATTCAATTAGGGTTTTTAGATGATTGTTTTGATTGGAACCCTTTTTTTCAATAAGTTGTACGCGAAGCCACAGGTAGTATATAAAATCGGAATATTTCACTCCTGAGATTGTGTTCTGCCTTTGCGCGAGCTGCGTTGTGCTTTTCAATTTTAATATTTTTTTATTGAAAAAATGTGTTTAGCGTTACGATGGTGTCTTTCTTTTTATCACGTATATGCAGGGCTCTTTTGCCATGGCTTTGGCTTCTCGTGGCTTTTGCCGTGGAGCTATTTTTGTACTTCCCCGTCTCGAAATATAATACACATGTATTTTAAAATTCAAAATTGTTATCTTTAATCAATAACTACTCTAACCATATACAAAGTTTAAAGTACAAAAGCAGTAATATTAGATTTGTGTTTAGAAATACTTTCTAACGATACTTTTGTTGCCACAAATTATTATATATTACTATATTACAAGAGAAATTAACGGCCAAAGTGTGATTTTGATGACCACATCCACATAAGTCAAATCTCGCTTTCTATTTTGAGATGTAGGGCCGAGGAGCCGGAGCCGCAAAAGCGTGACTTCTTTCGGCTTCTCACAAATTCGACGTAAAATGTTACAAAACTATTGTTGGAGCCGTTTTTGCCAAAGGCTTTTTCAAAATGGCTTTGGCTCCACTAAAAAATCTTATACACTCCCTCCATCTCATAGTAGTTGACCTTCTAGCCTTCTACACGCTCTAAATTAGTTATCATTCGTATTTTTCAACGCAACTTTGTCTTTTCCAATATATCTTTATTTCTATTTCTCTCTTTCTCATCTGTGCAACTCCTCTTGATTCCTATGCCCAGAGCTAAAACGTCATCTATTATGAGACGAGACTGTGGGAGTATATCATAAGGCAAGTCCAGTTTTAGTGGGTGCGTGGGTGTTTCATCCCAATGGTTAGATTCCTTTCTTTAATTTTGCTTGTTTGTTTTTGTTTCTCTCTTTTTTCTTCTGTTTTCAGTTTATAATGGAGTATATATATATATATATAATAGCCAGTAGGGACCCAGTCGCCTCCTGTTTCATCAAAGAAAAATATGGAAAGGGAGTGCTTCAGTACGTGATCATCCATTCATCCTAAGTCCGTAACTATTTGGATCTTGCGATGCAAAGGGTTATGCCTTTTTTTAGCAGAACGATCCTCAAGCTAAAAGCCGCTGGACAAAGATTAAACCAGAATGCTCTCATTGATGAGGACCAGGCGCTCAGTTTGTCGAGCAACTGCTCCCCGTGCTAAACTAGCTTGGTTAGTTGGTTGCTGGTTTTTCTTTGCTCTTTGTACTTCCTCTTCCTGGAATGTTGATCTACTTCTGTTTCTCGTTGAAATTCTTACGTGGTTTAGGCGTCCCGACTAATTCAGTATTTCGTTTCATGACAGTGCCTGCACCGTACCAACCGTGCACGTTAATTCAGAGAGATTATTAAGTTATGCTGTTGTGTCTATATATATGATCAGTGTGTTTGTTGAACCCGTTGCTCAGCTGACGTACATTCTGGCTCAAGTGCTTCAGTTGTGCATTAGGATTCTAGTGACAACTGAAGCTTGATGAATACGTAGTACACGCCACAAACTCCTCGAGCTCTTGTTTGTGGCAAAGATTGGCTAAATATTTTTTTTTATCAAACCAATGAAGGTAAAATATTCTACTGCAAATGTTTTTAGAAAACTGGAGTTAGTCTGTGGGTCAATTGGTGGTCTGCTAGATGGTGTTGCAAAATTCTTTATGCTAGTTGAGCTACAGGTTTCTATGCTGCCAAATTCGGGATGAGCTAAAGGTTTAGGCCATGTTTGATCAGTGATCACCACTGCCGTTTACGTGAAACCACCATGTTATATTTAGCGGAGGGCAGTCGTTGTTGTTCGGTTTTGAGAGCCGAGTACAGAAATCCCATCGAGCATGTGAACGGATGGTTAGGTGGGGAAATACACAAACGTTTTTACTGCGTGTCGTTGGGTCGATTTTATCTCGTCTCCAAGGACTACAATGTGGTTGGATGGGATGCGAAGACATAGGGCAGTAACTGCACCACCAAGAGCAGTAAATTGCTGCAGCAGTACACATGTCCGTGACTTAAAAGCTTGATCGTAATTTACTGAAAAATATCCAGCTGTTTGATGCTTTGTTCGTGGGTTGGTATGCAGTGCATGTGATCTGAATTTGCTTCCCAGTACTTGTGTACTAGTACGTAGAGGTAGTGTTATTGTGTTATAGTTGTGCCGTTTTCAGAGATTCCGAAATTCCTACTACAACTTTCACAGCGAAGGAATGTCATGAGCAGTTCAAAGTGTATGCCTGCCAGCTTTTCGAAGCAGAAGTGAGGTTGAAATTTGAATCTGTCCCGAAAACCAAATTAACAAAGTAGTGACAAATTAATAATGTGAACGATTCATAACAAAGACAAATTAGAAGCAGCATGCACACAACCTGTTTACCACAACGATCGAACATCACATCACATGTAGCATTATTCATGCCTCAAGAACATCACCACCACCATACAACCAGTCACCAACAGCTAAACACCATGTCTCACATAGACAGAACTAATAATAATAAAGCAAACACCAAATCAAACACATCCAACTCTCCAATGCATGCAGGTAACTAAAAGCAGTACTAGAACACAAGCTATAGCTAGCTAGAACACAAGAACTGCTCATATGTAGCTAGGGGAAACCAATGCAACCAACCAACCACGCATGCATGCATGCATGCACGCACGGCGACGACGACGTACTAGAGCATCACTCTACCACGGCGCTGGCCCGACGGACGGACGGAGTTCAGGGCTTGTTGGCGTGCTCGGGGACGGAGCCGGCGGTGGGGGAGCCGGGCATGCCGCCGAAGCCGCTGAAGCCCGGGGAGCCGCCGCCGAAGAGGGGCATGCTGCCGATGCTGCCGCTGCCGGGGAAGAACGACCCAGGGAGGATGCCGGAGGTGCCGGGGAGGCTGAACCCGGGAATGCTGCTGCCGCCGGAGGTGCCGGGGAGGCCGCCAAACGCCGGGGACGCGCCGCCACCGAGGCGGTCGAAGGGCGGGAAGGTCTGCGGCTGCACCACCGCGTCGTTGTCCGCCTTCTTCTCCGTCGTCGTCGTCTTGATGTTCCTCGCCTCGGCGGTCGTATCCAGGGCCAGGGCCAGGGCCAGCAGAGCTGCCGCCGCCGCCGCCATCGTCTTGGAAGACCTCGCCATCGCGCTCTCGGCTCTCTCTTCTTGCTTGCCTGCTGGCTCTTGTTGCTCTCTCTTCTCTTGCTGTGCCTGCTGCTGTGGTGTGTGGTCGTGAGAGAGAAGTGGCGAGGCAGGTGCTTTATAGCGGGGGAGGCGGGCGGGCCGGCGGGGGGCATTGAAGGCGGCGCAGCGCAGCGCGCTAATCGGCCGGGTCGCATGCAGGGAGCCAGGGACGGACGGACGGAGCAAGGGCGCGGCCCGGCCGCCCGGGGCAGCAGCAGCGACGGTAGGTGGAGGGCGTTAAAGGATGGGAGAGGCCGGCTTAAAGGAGAGGCAGGGTACGTACCTGCTGGCTGCTGCTGCTCTTTACTGCGTGCCATCCTGTGGCCCTGTTTGTTTCCCGGCTCCTAAATTTGGGAAGTTAAACTATCTTCTAATTTTTAGTAAAGTCACATGATTATAAAGACCAAGGTCCAGTTTAGTTTGCAAAAAAATTTGCAAAATTTTTCACATTCCCCGTCACATCGAATCTTTAGACGCATGCATAAAGCATTAAATATAAATAAAAAATAAAACTAATTACACAGTTTAGAAGCCTAATTAGACTATGATTGGACACTATTTGCCAAATAACAACGAAAATGCTACAATACTCATTTTGCAAAAATTTTTGCATCTAAACAAGCCCCAAAACATCACTCATTAATGCTAACTTGGTGCCCCTGGCATTTGGCGTCAATGGTGCCGCGCTGCTGGCTCCTGCTAGCGCTGCTGCCTCCCGCGTGCGGCCTTGGTGCCAAGGCCTTGGCGCCAAATGCATGCCTGGCTTGCTACTCTGCTAGATGCTTGGCTGCTCTGCTTGGCTGCATGCTAGCGCCATTCCTTGCAGCTCTGCTTGACTGCTATGGTAGCTGTTTGCCGCAATGTACATTATCATAAATAATGTTCAAATGGTTTAAAAAAAACTTCATTATTACAGACCATGGCGCTGCTATGACCTTCTAAACAAATCATTCGCTATCCAATCATGAAATTGATTCATGTTTTCATCTTCGTCTCCAAAACGTGTGGTGCCTCTAATTGCTTGAGTTGAAGTTCCTTCCTCTATTGGTATATAGTTTTCATCTTGATCACACAAGTCAAAGAGGTCATCCATCATACCACTCTGTCTAATGAAATTGTGCAGTGCCATGCATGCCATTATTATTTTACTTTGCTTTGCCATGGGAAAACTAGGCAAATCCAAAAAGAATTCTCCACTTCATCTTTAGGACTCAAAAAGACTTCTCTATAACATTTCTAAGTGAAGAATGTGTGTAATTGAACAGCTCTTTTTTACCTCTAGGTGCAGGCCCTTCTCTCCATTCAGGGACATGGTATTTTGTACCTCTGTACGGTACAAGAAAACCCAGTCGATTTGGGTACCCCGAGTCAACAAGATAAAATGTGTCTACACAACACAATACTTATGTAAGTAACATGACAAATACTATGACAAAGACAATGAAGAAATGTAAAAGTTCATACATACCTACAGGTGGATGTGAAAACTTGTCACCAAATTTTTCAAGTGCATCATTGAACACCCTCATATCATGAACTGATCCTGGCCATCCAGCTAGAACAAAAGTAAATCTCATATCAAAGTCGCATACGGCTAACACATTCTGCGTGGTGATTCCTTTCCTTCCTGTGTACTGGACTACCTTCGCAGTTGGCACAGTGACAGGTACATGTGTCCCATCTATAGCTCCAATGCATTTATCAAAGTACGGAGCAAACTGAGGAGATTGTAACCTTCTATGAATAATTAAAAATTGTGGATCCTTTAGCCTAATGATATCAATTGCTAGCTTCATCACACTAGATAGTACCTTATCAAACTTGTTGCTACATGTCCCTAGTGACCTCTCAAATCTATCATCAGCTTGTCTCATAGACTAAGGGACACCACACATCCACAAAAACATTGATAGAGCCTCTATAGAAGTCATTTTTGTAGTGGACTACAGACCATATCTCTCAACTAGCAAAGTGTGAAGGCTATAAAAAAACATCGCTGTACATCCTAAACATATTATAGCATTGTGTCCTATGTCCTAGGGTTCTCATAGTCCACTGATATCCAGTTTCAAGTGGGACTCTATAACCAGCCTTGTTCATGAACCTGTCACAACGGTACATACCTAGCAACAGCACAGCAGTAGCAATCCTTCTCCTCTTCTGCTGACACCTAGTAGCATGCATCATCAAACCTGCTTCCTCATCATCAGTGCAGTCCCCTTCATCATCAACATCTGACCAATCATCATCAGTACTTCACTTATCATCTAAGTCTTCAGTAGGAGCACCATCATCAGTAGTACTCCACCAATCATCATCAGATCCCACACCAGCATCAGCCACTCCAGCAGCAGCCCCTACACCAGCATCAGAAAGTCTAGCATGAACCACTCCAACAGCAAATCCCACTTCATATGCTCCCTGGTCATCATAAGAAATAGGTGTTAAAAGAGCATTGAATGTTGACATGAATAAAAATAATTAGACAGCATCACAACAACATCAACAACAATGGTAGCAACACCAATTACATTGTTCAACAAGCATTACAAGGTCCAAACATAAACCATGGTTCATTACGATTACATAGTTCATCATAAATTTAAGGTCCTAAGCAAAATAAAATTAAGGCTGTCAAACTGGAGACTCCATCTGTCAAGTCTTCTACCATTCTATCCTATCCTCCTCAAGCATTGTGGGCAGCCCTCCTCATCCATGACATCCTTTACTCATTTGTATCAAGGCCACTAAAGCCCAACATGTTGTAGCTACTTCTAAACATCATGGTAGCCACATAGTACTCATTTGAAGCTGTCTGCCCCAGCCTCCACAGCCAAATTGAGGCACCTAGCAACATCATCAACTCTGGCTTGCTTTACCTTTGCAGTTTCCCCTCTCTTACTCTGTGCTATTCGCTCCAATGCATTGACTTCTTTCTCAGCAGCAATCTCTAATTGAGTGACCAGCCCCTGCATGATAACATTCACTGGAACTTTTTTGTTCTTGCTAGGACTTGAGGCTGTGTCAGTTGTGCTGCTTGTCCTCTTACGGCTGTTTGTGATACTTGGTGAACTGGCCTGTAAGCCACAGTTGTCTAGAGTAGCAACACCATATTCATCATCCTCATCTATCCCTGTGTCTTGGTCACGGCATAACCCAGCGATGGTGGCAGTTGATCCATCAACAGTAGTGTTCTGGAAGAGCTCAACCATCTGAGGAAAGAATCTAGGCAACCCATATATGAATTTCCTACACTCTGGCTTCTTCTGAAAAATCACAAAAATCCACTGTTACCAAAAACCAACATAAAAGTAGAACAAGCAAACAAATTATTAGACACAAAGATTACCCTGGTATGCCTATCCCACCAAGATAGAGGTGCATCTATCCCTCCGTTTTCTTAGCGGCCAACACCTGTTTGTAGTTGTGCCCACTTGTAGAACTGTACATGGTCTTGAGCTGGCGGAATCTATTCTTCATACATCTAAGGTCATGCTTTAGGCCAGTCTGTTGCTCATAGAAATCTCTCAAATTATCATAACCTCTCCTTGTCATTGTCCCCTTACTTGAATTGCTCTTTCTCATTTCATCAACAGCAAGACAAGAGAACACAAATGTATTTGCATCGAATCAATTTGTCTTGTCAAACTAGTAGAGAAGCAGGTCAGAAAACAAGAGACAAAAATTGAAATAGGCAGATATAAATCAAACAAATACACAGTACTACATGAAACATGTACACACTTCAATAACAAACAACTAAACAGTAGTAGTTCATACAAACTTGTAGATCAAACAAATACAACCTAACACACACCTGTAGATCAAACAGATTAGACAAATAAACACTTGTACATCGAATAAATAAAACCTAACACATCAGATCAATAAAAAGTATGAGAATCTAATAAAAAAACAGACATACAGAACCATAAATAAGACATGCATAACATAAATAATAAACAGAGTAAAGTACGAATCAGATCAGAGAACAAGCTCACCTCGGGCGGGATGATGTCATCATCTTTTGACTCCATTCCTTCAGTTGGAGGATACGAGCTGCCCGAAGCAACCGCTCCACGCATCCTACCTGCCGCGCGCGTGGGCACGGCTACTGCCGGTTCCCACCCTAGAGCGGCGCACAGCAGCGCGAGAAGCCAGGCGTTTCCTAGATCCGGTCGCTCCTACGGTCGACTGAGGAGGAACGAACCCTCCAGCACTGGATCTGGCGCCAATGCGAAGAGGAAGAAGCCCTCTACCGCCGGGAGCGAAGTCACCTTGGAGGAGCCCCTGGTAAGAGCCCATGTAGGGGAAGCCGGCGGCGTCGGTGTTCAGATCTAGCCCCTCCATGCCGCGTCGAGCGGAGGAGCCTGCACCGTAAGATGGCTCTTGGGAGAAGACGCCGAAGTCGTCGGCGATGGGGGGAACGACGGACTGGAGCCATTTAGATCCACCGAAGAAGAGGACTACGAGTAATAGTCTGGATACTCGGACCAGTGGCCGTCCATGGCGGAAGCGGTGAGCGGAGGAGCTGCTACACTGGTGGAGGGGTTGGGAGGAGCGGTAGCGGCGTTGAGCGAAGTGGCGGCGGCGGGGAAAACAGAGGAGAGCGAGCGCGAGAGGGAGAGAGTGAGCGAGCTGAGAGAGTGAGCTATGAGTGAGGGGGTACCGGTGCGCTCAGACAGGATGCATCGATGAAGGGCAAGCCCTGTTCAGACATGGTTTTAGGAGTTGCTAGTAAGGTTTGGGTGACTAGCTGACTAAAGACTGTTTAGTCTTTTTTAGTAAAGGTGTTTGACAAAAAAAAAAGTTACTAAAAGAGACTAAGGGGGTGTTCGCTGGTCTGATGAGATCAGCCAGCCGGCTGATACCTCATCTCATGTTACTGTTCATCAAACCAGCCAAACAGTGTTTTTCTCTCACAACAAACCAGCCGAAGCAGTATTTTTCAGCCAAGTTTC